AACACCATCCGTGGCTGTTACCTAGCAGTAAAATCCAGCAGCATCCTCTCCCAAGAAATCTTGCAACTGGCAGAGGATGTTACACGAGTAGCATCTTTCCCATGTGTATCCTGCAAAAGGATGCGACTGGATTTTAATTATTGAAATGCCGGGTCTTCAGTACCTACATTTGTAGGTCAATAGGAACACAAATTAGTAAAAAATGGAGATACAGACGGAGGCAGATGGTACGGCCTCGCTGGTTGGTCATCTAACTGTAGTACCCAGGCTGAACATTATTCGGTTTACCAAGCTTTCAAAAATACTATTTCTACCGCAGACAAGAGGTGACAGCTGCAGTGACTTCACCTTTATAGAGGGCCTGGGATCTTCAATCAAACTGGCGTCAACCAAGATGCTGACACGTCCCCAGGGCAGTTCTCCCTCGGGCTGCTAGCGGAGTCGCTGGCCTCTTGGACCTCTTGGGTAGGGTCGATGGTGCTCCTGCAGGCAGCAGATCCTGGCGCAACCTGCTGCTGTTTGCAATGGCTGTCTGGCTGTCCTGCCGAGGAGGGACAGGTACCTAGCAACATCTGTTGTTAGAGCAATGGATGAATTCCCTAGAATGTTTGTTAACTGATCATTACTCTGTAATTTATTCATGATTGTAACCATGTATGTATTAACGTGTTTGGCGGTTATATGATTCATTACCTTTGAAACTTGTCATGATTGTGACCAGCTCTACCTGGAGCTCATTACCTTTGTAAATTCTCATTATTGTAATCAGATCTAGTTCATTACCTTTGTAATTAGTCACGAGTGTGACCAGCTCTACCTGGAGTTCATTACCTTTGTAACTTGCTCAGCTATCAAAATTTTGGAGTCCAGTCCCTGGACAAATTATGTACCTCTGTAATATTTTGACTACCACCCACAGGATGAGTATGGGGTGCATAATAAAGATATTAAACTAAAAAAAAAAAAACTACCGCATTTTTGTGGGCAGCCTCTAAACACGACAGTGTCCTGAGCTTTTTTTTCCAGATAACTAACTTGGGTTCTTTCCTCTTTATGAGGTGGAACTGTGTGCTCTTGTTTTGGACACCGAGCGTTGTTTCAGTACTCGTAGTTCATGTAAACTGTTCCAGAGCTGTGATTAATAGTTTTGAAAACCGACAAGTTGAAGAATGAGACATAAAACATATGGGTATCTTTATTGAGGAAACGTTTCGCCACACAGTGGCTTCATCAGTCCAGAGATCTTGCACTTTCACCCACATGCTTCTTATCACATTCCCCACACGGAATTATATAAACTGTTCTGGTGATTGTATTGTCAGTTAGTCTGCTGCTTACTGAGTCTCTGACACAGGTCGAAGAGTTAGTAGATATTTTAAACCGACTGCTCCTCATTATCAAGGATATGTTAGATACTACTTTCTTAACAGGAAGAACAATATACCAAGTTAGTGCTTCTTCTGTTGTGTCCATCATGTTCCTGTTAGTTTATCCTGGGATGTTAACAGGTTAATAATCAGAATAAAGTCTTCAGAAACAACTATCATTCTCCTTTATTGCAGTATGATACAATGTTTGTACAGAGATGGCTGACATTGAGTAGTACAGGTGGAAAGCCCATATTTATGCAGAGCATTTCGGTCCTATATTGTAATCTACTTTAAATCGTATAATGTACCTTTAATGTACCTTCAGAACCACTGTACAAATTTATACAACAGTCTGATAAATAATTTGTGAATTTTCTGGGTAAAGCTTGACTTATGTTATCTTATCAACGGAACGCTGGTATTTCCTTTGAAGTTAACCTCACCTCTTAAGAAAATCTTAAAGCTGCCGTAGCTACTGAATCCGCAGTGTCAAGTTTGATGGTATCCTCATCGTGATACTGAAGTCTCCCATCTCGGGCTGACACATTTCAATGTTTCACATATATACAGTACACAGCATCCGGTGGGACACCATCCTGCACGATGGATGTTAGATAAACAAAATCCACGAACTTAACTTTGCAAAATACACAGATCTGGGCAGCCACATAATGTGGTAAATCTGGAAAATACCTGGAGAGGGCCTCGGGGATCAACGCCCCCGCGGCCCAATCTCTGATCAGGCTTCGTGATGTCTATATATATATATATATATATATATATATATATATATATATATATATATATATATATATATATATATATATATATATATATCGTGCCGAATAGGTAAAACTTGCTATTTTTGCTTAAATAGCAAAGCTCTTCTTGCCGAATAGGGCAAGCAAAAATTTGTGTATGCAATAATTTAGTAAAAAATCATTCTGAACCTAACGAAAAAAATATATTTCATTGTGTTTTTTTTATTATTAAATTATTGTAAATTTATGTAAAATATATTTAGTTGGATTATACTTAATTAAATTGCGCTTGTTATAATAATGTTGGGTAAGTTTTCTAAGGTTCTTTTGGTGCAAAATTATTAATGTTACATTACATAAATGAAAAAATTAGAAAGGACTTAATTTTAAATGAGTTTTTGCTAATTGACCAATTTAACCTATTCGGCACAACATTATATACATAAACGGAAAGATTACTAACCCAGGATAACCCAAGGAAGCCAGGCAGTGTGGCTTATTTCCAGTGAGATCAGACATTCCTCTATCCCAGTTAGCTATATGACTCAGATACCTAATTAATGCTAGATGTACAGAGTAACACGTGGAATGGAACATACCTAATGCCTCCACCCACCCGGGATTGAAATCGAGCCTCCCGCTGTGATCTGGAGGCTACAGGTTAGATTAATCAACGACATATAAAATACCTTCCACCCTTAAGACACAATAATCCCAAGTAATCAAGATTTACTGGACAAAAATCAAATTTCGCAATAATGCTGCAATAAAGAGCCGGAGAAAATAATAGAAATAACTTATTAAAATAAGATTAAGATAATCTGATAATACACACATACCTAGAAATAAGTCATAGTAATCGGCTTAAATAAGCCTTTAATTCAACTTTTACAAAGCCGGACAAAACGCAATGCAGAGGCTGGACCAGACATATCTAGCAATCAATATTGAAAAACCAAAATCACACCTCCAAACGACCATTTACACTTACCATCCCATGAATCAACACCAGAGAGCAGCAGACTGTTGAGTGTAAGTAATACAAGAGTACAATATGAGGCAGGAAGAGGAGTAGAGAGAGTCACACCATCACTAGCAGACACTGACACACACACTACCATCCCTGGCCACCTACACAACAGTTGCCACTCTCACTAGAACTATTACTGACTTGATTTGCATATAGGTATACATTGATGCTGTTATGTAGACTGTTATGTGTAGTAAAGTGTATGTAGATTATCTGGGATAACTCCAGAAAAGTCTGGTAAATTGATTTCTTTCCACTGGGGTTCATTAAGTTAGTTTATTTGGGTATAGGTACATATAGATACAGTTATAAAAATTGTCATACATAGTAATATATGTGTAAATTATACACCAGGATAACCCCAAAAAATCAAAGTGACTTATGTCCATTGGGGTCCTTGTATTTCCACTGGGGTCCTTGTACTTACATTGGGGTTCTTATATTAAACTCTACATATACTCTTCTTTCATGACCTTATATCTCTAAGTCATGACATTTTTAGAGGCCTATACTTTCTTTTTAGAGGACTATGCTTTTAAGTGTATTAAATATAGCCTGCTATATTTCCGCTATATTTAGCGTATTTCTCTCTCGTCTAAGGTGCTACATTTCTGTGCCGGTGATGGGCTCTTGATCCAAGGAACTGTACCTGTTCTTCCTGTCCTCGGATCAAACCTGAATACCTCCCAGTCAACCAAGAACCCTATGGCCCATATGGATTTGACGCTCAGTTCAATGTAATACGTTTTTATGTTATTTATAATGAATTTAAAATCAGTTATTCACTGCCACAATATAATTATAACGAAAATTTCATTTATTTTCTTTTTTTTCATATGAAGCTGGAGACTTGTCTTTTATATATATTTATGCAGAAAAAATCTAAATTTTATCAATGAAAGTTGAGGTGTTATAAGCAGTCCCATAATTTTCATATATATATACTGCTGATTTATAAACTTTTTTGTATAAGTTAAGTACAAACAATTATAACATCGAAGTTAAAATATTGTCACATGTATAGAAAATATTTATAGAAATTCTTGCTGCCATGGAGTAAAAATTTCAGGTCGTTCAACCTGTCAGTATTTTTCCTCCAAAAACCACCATTATTTTCCCTCTTACATGTATATAAATTGTCCTTATTACAGATAAAATATATTAGAACCATTAACGTAATATATACAACTTTCACGCTGTGTTTATTGTGATATATGAAAGAAAATAAAAATTTCTGACAAAAACGATACTTATTGAAAATTGCCTCAAGGAGGATCAATAAAATAATAACACTTCAGTGAGAAAATATATTAATATATCAGCTTATCCTATGTTCTCAGACATTTATTTACAGCATAATAATAACAGGAATACACATAATAGAATTATTAATTTGCCTAAAATAAAAATTTGATGAATTTTAATGTTGTGAGTGAGGTTGTGATGCTGATGTACGATCATTATTAAATAACATTCTCAATATATATAATTATTACAGCAATATTCTTTATATATTACAAGTGCAAGCATCACGTTATACATTCTATATTATTATATACCTTAAAGTTATAATTATACGTGTTAATTTGAGTTATTAGTTATTAAAAAAGGTTGAAACACTAGCAAGTGCCAGTCACTGATGTTATATTATATTAATATGATTAATATAATTAATATTGTATTTTTATACACTTTATTGAGTGCCAGTTATAATACACGAGTGCTGGTGTAGTGATTTACAATGTATGGTCATTATATAGCAATTATCAGATACCGGGAAGTTGTACAATAATTTTTGAAAAAGTAAGATAGTGAGTGTTGCCCACTGTTGTTGTTGTTGTTGTTGATATTCAACAACACTGTGCACGTTGCTGTTAATACTGTGCACCAGCTGCTGTTAATACTGTGTACCAGCTGCTAACACTACACGTTGCTGTTAATACTGTGCACCAGCTTGTTAACACTACACGTTACTGTTAACAGCACCGCTGCTAACTGCACCAGCTGCTGTCAACACTGCACCAGCTGCTGTTAACAATGCACCAGCTGTTGTTAACACTGCACCAGCTGTTGTTAACACTGCATCAGCTGCCGTTAACGCACCACCGCTGCTAACACTGCAGCTGCTGTTAATGCAGCACCGCTGCTGTTAGCATTGCACCAGCTGCTGTTAACACTGCACCAGCTGCTGTTAACACTGCACCAGCTGCTGTTAACATTGCATCAGCTGCTGTTAACATTGCACCAGCTGCTAACACTGCACCAGCTGCTAACACAGCACTGCTGCTGTTAACATTGCACCAGCTGCTGTTCACAAGTTAACACTGCAGCAAACTTTATAAAGCTTTATAACTTTTCCAACTAAAAATGGAGACAGGAAGATTAACAATGGAGGAATTCCAGTTAGTTAATGTAAGTATAGTTACATTAATAATAATAATTAGTAATTATCTTGTGATGTATAAGTGTTTTCTGTATGACCCTGGCGGGTTTAGCGCTTAGGTATCTTAGTATTGTGTTGCAAATAATACTACCACTAATATTTGTCTTATTTTTGTGTTGCAAGTAATAATAATAATAATAGGTATCTTATTGTGTTGTTAATAATAATAGGTATCTTATTGTGTTGCTAATAATACTACTACTAATAATAATAGGTATCTTCTTGTTGTGTTGCATATTTAACATTTTTGGATACTTGTCATATATTTCAGATAATATCAGTTTTCTGATAGCTACATTACATTGACTGAGATCTTGGGTTTATAATTTGTATATATTATACGTGTATATGATCTGACCCTACACATATATTTTGCATGTGATTTTTAATATCATTTGTATATATGTGAACTGACCCTACACACACATATCATTTATGTGAATTTTTAACGTCTGGAAACGTGTTGTTAATGCAGAATCAATTTCTTTATATACAGAAAACTGACGGCCTAACTATATCCTCAAAGAAGAAAAACGTCAAGGAGAGTAAGGCAGCCGAGGCCAGCATTGCAAATTGCAAGGTTGAAATTATAAGGATGGATCCCTTCGAAATGGAGATAGACTTCATTGGCTTTAACATCTCTCTTGTAAATGCTTATAGAAGAATTATACTGGCAGAGGTAAATTATGTTTTATTTGACTTTAGATAATATTTGTATAATGCAGAGGTTTTTCAACTTGGATACATCCCCAGAGAAACACCACAGGTTCTTATCATCCGCTGTTACAATACATGCATTCCCAGGGATATACCACAGGTTTATATCATGCACTACTAGAAATACATGCATTCCCAGGGATATATCACAGGTTTTCATCATGCATTACTAGAATACATGCATCCCCAGGAGTATACCACAGGTTTTTATCATGAACAACTAGAATACATACAGCCCCAGGAGTATACCACAAGTTTTTATCATGAACAACTAGAATACATGCATCCCCAGGGGTATACCACAGGTTTTTGTCATGAACAACTAGAATACATGCATCCCCCGGGGTATACCACAGGTTTTTATCATGAACAACTAGAATACATGCATCCCCAGGGGTATACCACAGGTTTTTATCATGCACTTGCATCAAAAATATATGTACATGATAAAAATAATTCTGATAGTTTAGGCAAAATCGTGTTGGTTAGAACTATGATAAAGATTTGCTTTGCTGTATTTAAAACTACAATTCTATACCAAATTTAAATTCTGCTTGCAGACTAGGCATAATTCATCATTCAATTTAAATTGTTCATTATATCTTGTTTAGTTCTTAGTTATGATTACAATAATAATAATGTCTTAGTTCCAAGCAAATATGTAGTGTAAAAACTAGCTTTTGTTTATGATTGGTAAATTTTTGTTATTTTTTTTTAGGTACCAACAATGGCAATAGAGAAGGTGTATATGTACAATAATACCAGCATTGTTCAAGATGAAGTTTTAGCACACAGACTGGGCCTTGTTCCTCTTAAAGTGGATCCACGATACTTTGAATTTCGAAACAAAGGTGAAACTAACATGTTCTTCATTAGTTTTTGCTAAATAATATTTAGTGTATTTTGTATGGAACACTTGTTATATAGATAAATATTTATTAATCCCATCAAGGATGTGTTGCAGTGATACAACACCTCCTTCCTCAGATCAAACCAGATTAACTCCCTTTCCACAAAATGCACCACATGTTAGTGGCTTTCTTTTGTGCTTAACAGCATTAACTGCTGAAACAGTTAATGAATGAATGATGGTAAATTTGTTTCCTTGTCTGGCAGGGTGACCCAAGAAAAGAAACACTTTCACCATCATTCACAGTACCACTGTCTTACTAAGGTCATGATCACTTATTCACTAATCTAGATGATAGAAAAATCCTAACCTTATGTTAATTTCTACAGAGGAAACAGAGTGGGGTGCTCAGGACTCTGTTAAATATTCGCTTAATGTACGATGTTCAAAGAATCCTAAAGCAGCAGCTGATGAGACTAACCCTGACATTCTCTACCTTAACAGAAAAGGTGAGAAATGCAAAATTTGCATATGTTATTTTATTAATTTATGCTTCCATTGCATTGTGACTGAACAACTAGGTGAGCATTTGCAGTTACCAGCTGATAGTGTATATGTCTTGTTTTTAGTGAAGGGAAGATTGAGCTACTTCTGCCTACACTTAGGTCACAGATACATGTACACATATGTATTATTCTTCTTTCAACAAACTGGCAGTATCCCACCGAGGCAAGGTCGCCCAAAGAGAAAAACAAAAGTTTCTCTTTTTAACTTTAGTAATGTATACAGGAGAAGGGGTTACTAGCCCCTTGCTCCCTGCTTATTAGTAGCCTCTTATGATACGCATTGCTTACGGAGGAAGAATTCTACACACACATCTGAGTTTTCTTCTATTATCTTAATAGTTCCTGCTCTTCTTTATTTCTTTTCATTGCCATGAAGTGGAGACGAATCCTTCCTCCATAAGCCATGTGTCTCATAAGAGGTGACTAAAATGCTGGGAGTAAGGAGATAGTGACCCCTTCTCCTGTATAAATTAAGTACTACATACATGTAAAAAGAACATTTGTTTTTCTTTTAGGTCGCCCTGCCTCGGTGGGAGATGACTAGTGCGTTAAATATATCTATCTCACCCTTTCTTTTTTCTTTCTTTCTGTAGCTCCCACCCATCCACATATTTATTATTTTCTTCTCTTGGAAAACAAAATACAGTATAACAATCTAGTTTTAGTTATATTTAACAACAGGAAAATACAATGCTATATGTGTTTGCAGGGCCAGTGTATGTTAAAAATACAGCCACGACTGTCTACTTTGAACTTTACGCTATACTAGATATGTAAAAAAGTTATACTAAATATGTAAACAAGATGCCAATCAGAGCTCGAGATGGGTTGGCCATTGATGGTGACCTTCAAGTTCAAATTTAAATTCAAGCTTATTTCCACATAATACATTGTTTATACAGAAATGGATGACACTTGAATGCATGCAGAAAGCCAATGGTTATGCAGAACATTCCGGGCAAGCTTAAGTGGTGCAACTCTTAGCACACACACATGCAATTTATAATAACCAACAAATTTGATTTTCTTTTTTGAAATTCCTTTAGATTTTTTCTGCTCTATAAGTTGACCTGCACTGTATGATTCTTGTGGGCATAGCACTTAGTTTTGATTATAATAAGTATATAAGTTGACTTACCATGAAAGGCTCTTGGCCCCAGTGCTATCAAAATAAGAATGGTGGACTTTATTAATATTACTCATTTATTTTCTTATTCTAAGTCAGTGTGCACATGAATATTTGATTAACATGAAAATATTATTCTCTATGGGGAAGTGGAACAGAATTCTTCCTCCGTAAGCCATGCATGTTGTAAGAGGCGATTAAAATGCCGGGAGCAAGGGGCTAGTAACCTCTTCTCCTGTATATATTACTAAATGTAAAAGGAGAAACTTTTGTTTTTCCTTTGGGCCACCCCGCCTCGGTGGGATACGGCCAGTGTGTTGAAAGAAAAGAAAGATATACTATTTTTTATTTTTCAGTTATGTCATCAAGTCTGAAGTGGATTCCTTTGGGTAACCAAACTGACATCTTCCAGGAAGCCAATATGCAGCCTCTGCATCAGGATATTTTATTAGCCAAAATGAACTCCGGCCATGAAATAAACTTGGAAGCATTTGCTGTCAAAGGTAGATGAGAAATATTTGTATCTATTTAACAATCAGTAAATCTGTAGGATGACTTAAAAATATACCAGATAAAATGTGATCCCATTAGAAGAAATAGTCATTTTTTTAAATGATTGTTCAGTTTTATTTATTTTTTTATGTTTACAATGCATGTGTTGATGAAGAAGGAACAAAAAGGCACAATACTGTGATTGGAGCAATACACAAATAGCCTGCACATAGGAGAGAGAAGCTCATGACGATGTTTCTGTCTGACTTGGACTTGTAAATCATCCAGGTCGGACCAAAATGTCTTCATAAGCTTCTCTCTCTCGTGTGCAGGTTATTTGTGCATGTGATGATGCTCAGCATTGCTCAGTTTGGTGCTATTTTACATTTATTTGTATAATCCATTTTTCATATTTTTTGTTAGGCTGATGTTATGAGCATTGCACTTTTTTGAGAACTCTCCAACAGCATACTGTTTCATCTGTTTAATAAACAGTTATATTCTGAAATTAGTTGTAGACAATTGAATTAAATTCCCTGATGCAATTTACAATGATTTTTTTAATCAGATGAATTTCATTGTAATGAAATGCCAAGCTTAAGCTTATTTTAGGATTAAGCTAGTGTTGGCTAGTTGGGGTTTTAACTAATACTAATACCTTCTGGCAACATTTAAGGCCATACTGAGGAACCACTACTATTATTACTTAAAATGCTTTTATTATGCTCTTTACATCTTATTCTAAGACCTATACATAAATAACAAAAAGGCACAATACTCGAACAGTCGCCGTCTAGTTGAATCCTCTCTAATACACAACTTTCCTTGTATGAACCTAGCCCTGGCTTCGTCTCTGTAGATGCCTTCCTCTCCCACTACATTGTAAAATGCTCCAAACTTCAGAACACCCGTGACTTAACCTGAATCCTCATTTTTTCTTTCTTTTTCTTCTTCCTCTTCCCCTTTCCTCTTTCCTTTTCTCCTCTGGGTTGTCTTTCTCTCTCCTGTCTCGTGTTTCAGTTCCTTCTTCATTTATTTTATTTCACCACTTCCCCTTTCACGCACCTCTGTGCGCTTGCTCTCCCTCTGTGGGCTTCTAGCTCTCTTGCAGTGCTCCCCTTCCTTTGTTTTTGACTGGCTCGTCATCCTTATTTCCCACTTCTACCACTACCACTACCTCTTCTTCTTCTACTACTACTTCAATTATTATTATTTTTTATTATCACACTGGTCGATTCCCACCAAGGCAGGGTGGCCCGAAAAAGAAAAACTTTCACCATCATTCACTCCATTACTGTCTTGCCAGAAGGGTGCTTTACACTACAGTTTTTAAACTGCAACATTAACACCCCTCCTTCTTCAACTACTGATGAAATTGAGACACATGTGCGGCGTCTGGTTGTCTTTGTTGTGGACGTTTCGCCATCCAGTGGCTGGCTGGATGGCGAAACGTCTACGATGGTGATGCCCGGGTGTTGTGCATGTGTCTTAATTTCATCTTGTCGGTATTATATACAATTCTTGTACTACCACTACTACCTCCACCTCTTCCTGCCTATATATAGCCGTCCTGCTCCACCTCTGTTAGTGTGACTTTGTCAATGGTCCAAGTCGGACTGAAACGTCATCGTAAGCTTCTCTCTTTTATGTGCGGGTTATTTGTGTATAAGACCTATACATATATACTCTGTGTCCCTGTATTGTTTGTAACAACTTGACAATGCTCCTGGGGAGTGAAATGTTGCCACAGTAAAATGTTGCAGTAGCTGCACATGTCCTGTTGCCCAGCATATTGATGAGTGCAACAGTTTGGTTTCTTTATTGTTGGAAAGTTTTGGCTACATAGAAAGTTTCTTCAGCCAAATACAGAAGAAGCCTACTGTGTAGGTGAAATGCTTCAACAATAAAGATGCTCAACTGTTGCACATGTCTTGCTCATCAACTTATAAGTATTTTATATCATTATCAAAATCCCTAACATATTGTCAGTAATTCTACCAACATTATTACTACTTGAGCTACCCCTAAAAAGAGTCCAAAAGCAATACTTCTTTTCCCTTTATAGACATAATTGCTAAAATTATTAAGAAAAGTAAAGTATGTGTATGTGTTTTTCTTCTTAATAAAGTAAAACTGAGTGAGTTATGCTCTTAATTGTTACAGCCAAGAATAAATAATCCTTGATTTGCCATTAGCCTTTGAATTTTATCCTGGAGATGATCGAGTTTGAGGAGGAGTCCCAGTAATCATTCCATCATGTAAATTCACATTGTATCTAATTTTTATGAAAACTTTTTTCATGCAAATTCTCTGAAATTTTATGAGGAAAATGATGGGGGGTTATGACCTTTATCTCTTACAGTATTCTCATATTGCACATGCTTGTAGTATGGCCTTGTATTCTTTAATATTTGTCTGATTCTCTCCCTTGCTTTCTTCTTAAATATTCAGGTATTGGTAGTGACCATGCCAAGTTCCAGCCTGGCCTTGCGTGGTATCGTCTCTTGCCTGAAATAGAACTGACTCGAGAAGTTGAGGGTGAGCAAGCTGACCTTCTCCAGAAATGCTTCTCCCCTGGAGTGATTGATGTTGTTACTACTCCAGGAGGTAAGCAAAAGGATAATGTATAATGTTTGTTTCTCTGCTGTCTATGCAGTTTGAGTGTGTATTTTATGATGTTGACCCTGGCAAGGAGAGAATGGGGCTATGAAGACAACCTGTCCTCCACATTCGCTGTTGTTCATGTGAAAATACATGAATACAATTTTGATTCAGGGAAACCAGTTAGCTAGATTTGACTCCTGGAGGTGGGAAGTGCAGTGCCTGCACTTCCCACCTGCTTTTGAACTGTAGTTTCAAAATGCCTCTGGCAAGACAGTGAAAGAGTGATTAATGATGAAAGTTTTTTTTTTTCTTTTTTTGCATCACCCTGCCTCAGTGGAAAACTGTTGATGTGTTAAAGAAAAAAAATTTACATATGCCCCTTGCTGCCAGACATAAGCCACTTGTCTTTTTTCATTGTCTGGTAATTATTTGTAAATATAGGTTACTATAGGTTAATAGCCTGAGCTTATATTACCTAACCTAGCTTTTTTTTTTTTTTTTTTTTTTTTTCAACAAGTCGGCCATCTCCCACCGAGGCAGGGTGACCCAAAAAAGAAAGAAAATCCCCAAAAAGAAAATACTTTCATCATCATTCAACACTTTCACCACACTCACACATTATCACTGTTTTTGCAGAGGTGCTCGGAATACAACAGTTTAGAAGCATACACATATAAAGATACACAACATATCCCTCCAAACTGCCAATATCCCAAACCCCTCCTTTAAAGTGCAGGCATTGTACTTCCCATTTCCAGGACTCAAGTCCGACTATATGAAAATAACTGGTTTCCCTGAATCCCTTCACTAAATATTACCCTGCTCACACTCCAACAGATCGTCAGGTCCCAAGTACCATTCGTCTCCATTCACTCCTATCTAACACGCTCACGCACGCTTGCTGGAAGTCCAAGCCCCTTGCCCACAAAACCTCCTTTACCCCCTCTCTCCAACCCTTTCGAGGACGACCCCTCCCCCTCCTTCCTTCCCCTATAGATTTATATGCTTTCCATGTCATTCTACTTTGATCCATTCTCTCTAAATGACCAAACCACCTCAACAACTCCTCTTCATTCCTCTGACTAATACTCTTATTAACTCCACACCTTTTCCTAATTTCCACACTCCGAATTTTCTGCATAATATTTACACCACACATTGCCCTTAAACAGGACATCTCCACTGCCTCCAACCGTCTCCTCGCTGCTGCATTTACCACCCAAGCTTCACACCCATATAAGAGTGTTGGTACTACTATACTTTCATACATTCCCTTCTTTGCCTCCATAGATAACGTTTTTTGACTCCACATATACCTCAACGCTAAGAACAAAAATATAAGATTTTCAAAATTTCATTTCTGCACTTTTGCATGCATGGCAATTCATGTGAAACTGGTTGCTCATAGAAGACAAGTAGATACATGACCAGACAAGAAACTGAGCACAATACTGAACCCCATGTGTGAGACAAAGGTCAAGGCTACATGTTTTCACATGTAGGAATGGGAGCAAAGAGCTATCACCTAAAAGAGGTTTTTGTGGCATTTATGGACTCAGAAAAGGCATATGACAGGGTGGATAGGGAGGCAATGTGGGAGATGTTGCAGGTGCATGGTATGGGAGGTAGGTTACTGAAAGCAGTGAAGAGTTTTTACGATGATAGTGAGGCTCAGGTTAGAGTATGTAGGAGAGAGGGAGATTACAGTGGACCCCCGCTTAACGATCAGCTCCCAATGCGACCAATTATGTAAGTGTATATATGTAAGTGCGTTTGTACGTGTATGTTTGGGGGTCTGAAATGGACTAATCTACTTCACAATATTCCTTATGGGAACAAATTCGGTCAGTATTGGCACCTGAACATACTTCTGGAATGAAAAAATATCGTTAACCGGGGGTCCACTGTATTTCCCAGTAAAAGTAGGCCTTAGACAAGGATGTGTGAGGTCACCGTGGCTGTTCAATATGCTGTACTTATAGATGGGGTTGTAAGAGAAGTGAATGCAAGGGTCTTGGCAAGAGGTGTGAGTTAAAAGATAAAGAATCAAACACAAAGTGGGAGTTGTCACAGTTGCTCTTTGCTGATGACACTGTGCTTTTGGGAGATTCTGAAGAGAAGTTGCAGAGGTTGGTGGATGAATTTGGTAGGGTATGTAAAAGAAGAAAATTAAAAGTGAATACTGTATAGGAAAGAGTAAAGTGATGAGGATAACAAAAAGATTAGGTGACAAAAGATTGGATATCAGATTGGAGGGAGAGAGTATGGAGGAAGTGAATGTATTCAGATATTTAGGAGTGGACTTGTCAGCAGATGGGTCTATAAAGGATGAGGTGAATCATAGAATTGATGAGGGAAAAAGAGTGAGTGGTACACTTAGGAGTCTGTGGAGACAAAGAACTTTGTCTATGGAAGCAAAGAGGGGAATGCATGCGAGTATAGTTATACCAACACTCCTATATGGGTGTGAAGCATGGGTGATGAATGTTGCAACGAGAATGCTGGAGGCAGTGGAGATGTCGTGTCTGAGGGTAGTGTGTGGGGTGAATATAATGCAGAGAATTCGTAGCTTGGAAATTAGGAGAGGGCTGAGAAGGGGTTGTTGAGGTGGTTCTGACGTGTAGAGAGAATGGAACAAAACAGAATGGCTTCGAGAGTGTATAAATCTGTAGTGGAGGTAAAGTGGGGTAGGGGTCAGCCTAGGAAAGGTTGGAGGGAGGAGGGTAAAGGAGGTTTTTGTGTGCTAGGGGCTTGGACTTCCAGCAAGCATGCGTGAACATATTTGATAGGAGTGAATGGAGGCAAGTGGTTTTTAACACTTAATGTGCTGTTGGAGTGTGAACAAAGTACTGTAACACTTATGAAGGGATTCAGGGAAACCGGCAGGCCGGACTTTAGTCCTGGAGATGGGAAGTACAGGGTCTGCACTCTGAAGGAGGGGTGTTAATGTTGCAGTTTTATAACTAGTGTAAAGCATTCCTCTGGCAAGACAGTGATGGAGTGAATGATGATGAAAGTTTTTCTTTTTCGGGCCACCCTGCCTTGGTGGGAATCGGCCGATGTGTTAATAAATAAAAATAAAATAATTTCACTATAAATTCAAGTTACTTGAAATATTAATAAAATTAGAAGGGAGTTGCAGGTGGTGAAATATCAACACTGGGTATCAGCATCAGAATGTGATACCAGAGATGTTAAACTATTGCCAGTACTAATCTTTGAGGATGGATCATTGTTCACGTGTGGGGCATCACACACAGGAATGTTCTGTAGTAGATGACAAGAGGTAATATAATTGTGACATATACTGTAGAGCATAGATGTGGTATACATGTATAAATCTACCACCAGTGATGCAGCAAGAAGTCATTGGTATAATTGGAAATCACATACCCATATGAACCACAAGAATATTAGAAAGTATTGCTTTAGTGTACGGGTGGCAAATAATTTAATGAACTGAGCAGTGACACAGTGAATGTAAATTCCATAGTGTTTAAAAAATAGCTTTGACAATACTCAGCCCTGCCATTTGTGTAAAAATTAAGAAACAGTACCAATTGTTGAAACTCACCCCTTGCATCCTGGCAGGAAGCACCACATGTGTAAAGTTAATTCCCTGGTATTATCATACCTTGCTTAGCCCAGAGTACATTGGAACTCAGTCTCTGGATCCATCATGTGCTTTTGTAATCTTTCAACTACTACCTACAGGATGGGTATTGGAAGCATAATGTCAGTCAGTTCAGTGATTACACAGGAAAGTTAGATGTAATGGGATGCAGGATACTATAAGCTTACTTTCATTAATTCAGTAATATGAGCAATGACAAAAATATTTGAACACTATTAAAAGCAAATATAATATTAAACAGGGATAATATATTCCTGTACATAGCTTATAATTTTTTTTTATATAACAACAACATAATATACATCATTATTTTTATTACTTTTCATGCATTGTGTTCATTATTGAGTTGTATTTGAATTATAATGTGGCTTACCTCCCTTTACAGGGAGAAGACTAGCAAAGGTGAATGATACTCGAAATGATGCCTGCTCCAGAAATGTATTCCAGTATGATAGCATCAAAGACTCTGTTAAGCTCACAAGGAAGACTGATCATGTGATTTGTAAGTCATTTCTTATTTTCTCTGATAAATTAGTAAAGAGTTTTTATGAGGATAGTGAGGCTCAGGTTAGGGTGTGTAGAAAAGAAGGAGACTACTTCCCAGTAAAGTAGGTCTTAGACAGGGATGTGTAATGTCACCATGGTTGTTTAATATATTTATAGATGAGGTTGTAAAAGAAGTAAATGCTAGGATGTTCGGGAGAGGGGTGGGATTAAATTATGGGGAATCAAATACAAAATGGGAATTGACACAGTTGCTTTTTGCTGATGATACTCTGCTTATGGGAGATTCTAAAGAAAAATTGCAGAGGTTAGTGGATGAGTTTGGGAGTGTGTGTAAAGGTAGAAAGTTGAAAGTGAACATAGAAAAGAGTAAGGTGATGAGGGTATCACAAATGATTTAGATAAAGAAAAATTGGTTATCAAATTGGGAAGGAGGAGTATGGAAGAAGTGAATGTTTTCAGATACTTGGGAGTTGACGTGTTGGCGGATGGATTTATGAAGGATGAGGTTAATCATAGAATTGATGAGGGAAAAAAGGTACGTGGTGCGTTGAGGTATATGTGGAGACAAAAAACGTTATCTATGGAGGCAAAGAAGGGAATGTATGAAAGTATAGTAGTACCAACACTCTTATATGGGTGTGAAGCTTGGGTTGTGAATGCAGCAGCGAGGAAGAGGTTGGAGGCAGTGAAGATGTCCTGTCTAAGGGCAGTGTGTGGTGTTAATATTATGCAGAAAATTCGGAGTGTGGAAATTAGGAGAATGTGTGGAGTTAATAAAAGTATTAGTCAGAGGGCTGAAGAGGGGTTGTTGATGTGGTTTGGTCATTTAGAGAGAATGGATCAAAGTAGAATCACATGGAGAGCGTATAAATCTGCAGGGGAAGGAAGGCGGGGTAGAGGTCATCCTTGAAAAGGTTGGAAGGAAGGGGTAGAGGAGGTTTTGTGGGCGAGGGGCTTGGAATTCCAGCAGGGGTGCATGAGCGTGTTCATTAGGAGTGAATGGAGACAAATGGTATTTGGGACCTGACGATCTGTTGGAGTGTAAGCAGGGTAATATTTAGTGAAGGGATTCAGGGAAACCGGTTATTTTTATATAGCCGGACTTGAGTCTTGGAAATGGGAAGTACATTGCCTGCACTCTAAAGGAGGGGTTCGGGATATTAGCAGTTTGGAGGGATATATTGTGTATCTTTATACGTATATGCTTCTAAACTGTTGTGTTCTGAGCACATCTGCAAAAACAGTGATTATGTGTGAGTGAGGTGAAAGTGTTGAATGATGAAAGTATTTTCTTTTTGGGGATTTTCTTTCTTTTTGGGTCACCCTGCCTCGGTGGGAGACGGCCAACTTGTTAAAAAAAAAATAGTAAAATAGTAGGTAGCATTTTTCTACAAAATTCAGCTCACAAAACAATTTTTACAGCTAGCTCGGGTAGTTTTAAAAGTAAGTCAGGAATATGTGAGTGGAAATAGTTGAGGGTGAGGAGGACTTGACTAGCATGAGCCTCTTTTCTTATGTTATTTTCTTATATTCATAATACCATATATACTCGATTGTGATGTGTGAATTAGTGACAGTCTCTTTTTTAATAGACCTACCATAAAATCAGATTTCATTATGTTAAGGAGAAGAAAAGTGAATGAATTAGTGAAGTGGGCAGTTTGTGAAACATGTGAATAGCTGCTGGGAGAAAGGTGGATCACTAGAGTAAGAGCAAGTGGTAACAAGGATATTAGGTATGGTGTGGATTTAAGAATGCAGTACTGGAGTGTGCAGCATTGATTTGTGGTTATAAGAGGGTAGGTGCTGGAGGAAAGAGGTAAAGGAGTGTAGGAGAGGTAAAAGTGAGGAAGTGGTCAGAAGCAGTACAGATGTCAAGTTTGAGAGTAATGTTTGGCATGAATATTATGCAAAGAATTTGGAGTGTAGAAATTAAAAGGTAATGCAGGATCACCGAAGTGTATAATTCATAGGGTTGAGGAGAAGTTGTTGAGGTGGTTTAGGCATGTAGAAAGGATGATGAAGAGTGTATAAATTGGGGTGGAAGGTAGGAAGGGTAGGGGTTGTCGTTAGAATGGGTGGAGGGAGGGAGGTAAAAGAGGCTTTGAGTTTTAGGGGCTTTAGTATCCAGCAGGCTTGTGAGAGCATTTTAGGAGTGCATGGAGACAGGTGGTTTTTAATGGACATACTGAGCAAGTTAGTTTATAAAACGGAGCTAGGGAAACCAGTTAGCTAAACTTGAGTCTCAGAGGTGGAAAAGGCGGTGTCTACATTCTTGAGTGATGGGTGGGGATGTTGTAGTTGGAGGGTAATCCAAATTATGACCTTAGCACCCACTTCAGGAAAGACTGATTGAATGAAGGGTGAATGTATTTTCTTCTCTGGGTCACCCCTACTTTGACGTGAGGCGGTCATTGGGGTAAAAAATTTAATTAAACTCTGTTGTGAAAATCTCACAAACAGTATCACTTGGTACATATGTTTTAATGTGAAGGATTGATTATTATGTTCACTAATTAGTTTCCTATTTTTGTTTCAGTTTTTGTAGAGTCACACAGTGCGCTGAAGAGTTATGAAATCTTAGAAGAAGCTGTCAACATCATGATTGGCAAGTGTAGCTTGTTGTTAGCAGAAACTGACAAGCTCATAGAGAGCAGTGCACCAAGCTAAATAAATGCTCTGATTTTTGGTGTGCATTGTTAAAAAGTAAAATAAAAATTATGTCCATATAATTTTTAAGGAATCTTTATTTTTTGTTTACCAATATATTAGATCTCTATACTGCCTGCCTATACAGATTTTATTGTGTCAATAAGGCTCTTTTTTTTTGTCTTCTTTTTACACATTGGCCATCTACTGAGGTAGAGTGATTCAAAGAAGAGACACTTGCACCATCATTCATTCTACCACTCTTTGCCAGAGGCATGCTGACAGTACAGTTTAGATGACCCACCAAACCAACATCCCCACCTATCCTTTAGAGTGAAGGCACTGTACTTCCCATCTCTAGGACTCAAGTGCAGCTAACCGGTTTCCCTGAATTCCTTCATAAATATTGCCTTGCTCACACTCCAACAGCTCACCAAATCATAACCACTTGCCTCCATTCCTATTTAACATGCTCACATATTATGGTTATGGTGTACATTTGGGAATACTTGCTAAAAAATCCATTGAAAGTGATTGTGTCATTTTTATTTGTCAAATCTTTTTCACATAAAATCATACTAAACAGTGATAACTTGCAAGTTTTGTTTTTTATCTGATTAATGAACATGCAGATTTTTTTTTTTTTTTTTAACAAGCCGGCCATCTCCCACTGAGGCAGGGTGACCCAAAAAGATATCAACATGTATTCTATTTCCTGGTTACCATTAAATATAATAGTGAATGTCTTGGCAGATATTTGGCTGCACTAGTTTTTTTTTCAGAATCTGTAATTGTTTAAAAAACCTAAACCTGACAAATATATAACGTACATATAATACATAAAACTGTCATTTGGCACTGATGCTGGTGAGGGGCTTTTGATTTAGGGAAGTGGAGCTTCCCTCCTTGTATGAAAGCTTATTGGCTCCTAATCCTCAAGTGCTATATGACCTCTACATAGTTTAGTGGTTCCTGTGAAAAGCCTAATAATATACTTTAACAGAAACAAATAAAATTAGTGGGTAAGTTATGCTTTAAGCCCTGGGAAGTTCAGTAACTTGGTTAGGTGATTGATAGCAAGTAATTTGGTTTTTGATCTGGAAATTCCTGTATGTCAAATTTAATAAACTATGCAGAGAAATATAAAAAACTGCCTTGATGGACATAGGCATACATGCAGCTTAATCTAATCACTCTGTCATTGACAGTGACTTGATAAGGTCCACTGTGTGAGTGAAACATTGTCAATAAAGTCCACTGTGTGGGTGAAACATTGTCAATAAAGTCCACTGTGTGGTTGAAACATTGTCAATAAAGTCCACTGTGTGCGTGAAAACATATGTCAATAAAGTCCACTGTGTGGTTGAAACATTGTCAATAAAGTCCACTGTGTGGTTGAAACATTGTCAATAAAGTCCACTGTGTGGTTGAAACATTGTCAATAAAGTCCACTGTGTGGGTGAAACATTGTCAATAAAGTCCACTGTGTGGTTGAAACATTGTCAATAAAGTCCACTGTGTGCGTGAAACATTGTCAATAAAGTCCACTGTGTGGTTGAAACATTGTCAATAAAGTCCACTGTGTGGTTGAAACATTGTCAATAAAGTCCACTGTGTGAGTGAAACATTGTCAATAAAGTCCACTGTGTGGGTGAAACATTGTCAATAAAGTCCACTGTGTGGTTGAAACATTGTCAATAAAGTCCACTGTGTGCGTGAAACATTGTCAATAAAGTCCACTGTGTGGTTGAAACATTGTCATAAAAGTCCACTGTGTGGTTGAAACATGTCAATAAAGTCCACGTGTGGTTGAAACATTGTCAATAAAGTCCACTGTGTGGGTGAAACATTGTCAATAAAGTCCACTGTGTGGTTGAAACATTGTCAATAAAGTCCACTGTGTGGGTGAAACATTGTCAATAAAGTCCACTGTGTGGTTGAAAACTTGTCAATAAAGTCCACTGTGTGGTTTAAACATTGTCAATAAAGTCCACTGTGTGGTTGAAACATTGTCAATAAAGTCCACTGTGTGGTTGAAACATTGTCAATAAAGTCCACTGTGTGGGTGAAACATTGTCAATATAGGATTGCATTATACTGTACCAAATTTGTCTCTATCTTTCTATTAAACTGTTATGACAGCCCTAAAATTGGTAAGAAAAAAAAGAAAGAAAATGATTTATTTATTTTGATTTTGAAGTTTGCCCTAAGGCTAATGTGGAAACTTCTTTAAAAATGAAACCCCTTTTTAAGGGGGGTCCTTGCGTGGGAAAAGGCTCTTGGTCTGAGGAATTAGACCCCGTCCGGGTTTCTTCCCCAATCGAAACCCAATTACCCCCCAAACCCCCTTCCCTATCCCCTCCTCCCCTTTTTCCTTTCCCCCTCCTCCCCCCCCCTCCCTTTTGCCCCTTCCTTTTTGGCCTTTTTTTTTATTTTCCCCACAGGCACGCTATTCCAGGTAGGGGGAAAGGGGGGGACCGGGGTCCATCCCTTTTGTTGAGGTTCTTGGCGGTGGGTTGTTTGCCGTGGAATCTGGATTGCCCGGGGATGTCCCGATCCCCCTCCTATCCCGGGGTGGTTTGGGTGTCTCCGGGCGACGGGTTTTATCTCTGGAAGCCCCTTCGGATTCCGGGGGGGGTGCCGAAGGGGTATGCTTTGTGGGGGGATTTCCGGCCCCCCCACCCCCCCCCCCC